TCAATCCGTTAATCTAATTGAACTTGGGAACTTATTTGCTTGAGTTATTTCCTTTGTTCTTGTTTTATTTATTTTCTTTTTTCATTTCTGTTTTGTGTAGGGGAAATGAATTTGATCATTCAATCACCAATCCTCGTGGGATCGACCTCGCACTTACATATGCTATACTATCAAACGGCTCGTGTACTTGCGAGTATCACAAGTTGAGGATGCAGCTGAATCCATTTTGATGCAGCTGAATCGACGCAACAGGAAATTTTAAATGTATAGCCGACCAGCTAGACTCCATAATAGAAATTTTAACAGTATAGCCGCATGGCGATACCCCTTAAATACAATATTTTAACTGTATCACCACACGGCTATACTCTATAGATAAAATTTTTGACAGTATAGGCATGCGACTATACTTTTCGAATACAATATATTAACAGTATAGCCGAAAGGCTATAAGCAATAAATAGAAATTCTAACAGTATAGCCGCGCGGCTATACCCTATAAAAGTAACGCTACCCTGCTATACGCTATAAATAGAAACCAATTTTAAACGTATAGCCGCTCGGCTATAGTATTTACATACAATATATTTACGGTATAGCCGGACGGCTATACTCAATAAATAGTAATTTTAAACGTATAGCCAAACGGCTATAAGCCTCAAATACAATATTTTATCAGTATCGCCGCTTGGCTATACCCTATAAATAAATTTGTTAACAGAACAGCCGCACGGCTATACGCAATAAATAGAACTTTTAAACGTATAGCCGGACGGCTATACGCCTCAAATACAATATTTAAACAGTATCGCTGCCCGGCTATACTCTATAAATATATTTTTTAAAAATAGAATATCCTCCTGGCTATACTCTTTAAATACAATACATTAACAGTATAGCTAGACGGCTATACTCAATAAATAGAAATTTTAACATTACAGCCGGACGGCTATACTCTATAAATATTTGCTGCTATACGGCATAAATAGAAATGATAAACGTATAGCCGGCCGCTATATTATTGAAATACAATATATTAATAGTATAGCCGCACTGTTGTAGTATATAAATAGAAATTTTAACAGTACAGCCGTTTGGCTACACTCGTTAAATACAATATTATACAAGTATTGCCGCCGGCTGTACTTTATAAATAGAAATTGTAACGGTATAGCCGCACGGCCATACGCTATAAATAGAAATTTTAACAGTATAGCCGGGCGACAATACCCTTTAAATGCAATATTTTAAAAGTATAGCCGGTGGCTATACGCTATAACTACCCTTTAAAGACAATATATTAACAGTATAGCCGCACGGCCATACTCCATAATTTGAAATAATAAAAGTATAGCCGATCGGCTATATGTAATTACTTTAATTATTATTTCTTTACTGAATAATTAGTATTTAAATATTTTAATTAATTTCATAAATTACTGAATATATTATAGTAATTAATTATTTTAAATTATTTTATGGACTTTTAAAAAAAACATTTTGTACAAAATTAGTTTGTTTAGTTTAATATTTGTAGTTAAGAAATATCTTAGCCTTATTTAATTAATTTAAATTGTAATTAGCTCTTAGTTATTATTTCTTTAGTGAATAATTAGTATTTAAATATTTAATTAATTTATAAATTAGTTAATAAATAGTAATGAATTATATTTATATATCTTCAATAATTTTGTGGACTTTAAATTATTTTAAAAGTAGTTTAAATTATTTAAAAATCTTAAGAAATTATTTTAGTATTTCAAAAATGAATTTTACCATCCAAACCCGAAATTGAAGTCTCAAACCAAACACCCTAACTTTCGAAATTCTCCAAACTTGTACCAAAATCATTCGCAATCCTCAAACCCTAACCCTCAACCTATTATAGGACCCAAAACTTTGCAGGGGCAGGTCTATCTCGACAAACTTTCGCTTGCCAAAATTTCCAAGTAGCATTTTCCATCTCCAATTTTGTGTTAAGAATGCTTCGCCGCAAACGGAGGTGGGCTTCTAAACAAAGCAGTGGCCTATTTCCTTTCATATTTCTTTGTTGCTCCTCGCATGGCCGTTATTTTCTTCAAAAGCCCAAAGAGCCCAAAGCCCATTATCTTCTACCTCATGCTAACTCACTCCAAGCGTCGACTCTGACAAGCAGCGAGAAAATATAAGCAACTGAAGCAAACTTTCACTCTCACCGGCTCCTAAAACCCTAACCAACTGAAGCAAACTTTCTTCATTCACAACCGGATCCTTCATTCGGATCTACCCGCCCGTTTCCAATGGCGACTCCAACAGAGTCTCTCCTCACCATCGCCGGGTCAGTCTCCACCCCATCGACCAGGAAACGGGTTCGCATCTTCCGCGACGAAATTTCTTCCATTCTCAACAACTCAGGTTAGTCGTGAGCTTAGTTCTCGGTTCAAATTTTACTTTAATTCCATTTTCATTTCTGAATAAATTACCAAATTGAATTTTCTGTTTATCTACATTCGTACGTGCCAGCATGCATACCCAAGTTTCAAGAAATGTCAATGTATTGTGTGCGCACATAATGCAAAAAGATAACATGAACATATTACATATTGAATTTAGTGAGTTGAAATTTGAAGCAATTTTTTTTTGCTGAACTGTTAAAGGTGATGTAATATTCTTTAATTATTAGTACAAAGAGTAAGTTCATTGATTTTACCTTTCTGGTTCTATAAATTGTTTCTTAATGAAATTTACAGTTTCGCTGCACATGTCTCTTTGCTTCATAGTATTTTCTGAGGAACAGATGTGTCAAACTAACAGAGCTGATGAATTTTTTAGAGCAATAAGGACGGAATCATGCATTATCTGATTATTTTGTTATAAATAATGAAGAGGAAGGATTACGTATTACTCTTGCTTCCCGGAAACGCTATATGGAACTAATACTTTTTATGTCAATTATATCTTTGAGAAACACAAAGTTTCGTTTGCTTTTTGTGTGAATATTTATGCACTTAACATTTAAAACTACTGGGCCTTAGATAATTCGATACCATGATTAGATTGAGCTTACTGAGTTTATTACATAATATTTTTCAGTTTTGATAGTTGCTGATCATCTGCACATGCTCTTGTTCTTAAATTACTTGTCATTTTGAATTCTGCAGAAATGGGTACAGAGCCTGCATTGCTGTTGGTAGATATAATATTTAAAACATTGTACATTTATGATGATCGTGGGTCAAGGAAAGCTGTTGATGACATCATTACAAAAGGTTTACAAGAGGTTGCTTTCATGAAAAGTTTTGCAGCAGCCCTTGTGCAGGTCATGGAAAGACAAGTGAGGGTGCAATCACATGTTGGCTGCTACAGACTTCTCCAGTGGTCGTGTCTCCTTTTCAGTAAGAGTAATTTTGCTACAGTCTCGAAGAATGCATTGTGTAAAGTTGCCACAGTGCAGGCATCATTAATTCATATTGTTATGCAAAGATCTTTCCGCGAGCGAAGGGCTTGCAAGAAGACATTTTGTCACTTATTTTCTCAGGTTTAGCCCGTCGAACCTTCTCTAATGAGTATCATTTGCATACCTTTACTTTACATTCTTATTTTCTGATAGCATTTCATATTTCCTTTCTAGTCACCGGACATTTACAAAATGTATATAGAGGAACTTAAAGATGCACGTATCCCATACAAAGATAGTCCTGAGTTAATATGGTTGTTGATGGAGTTCTCAAGTACCTCAAGCAAATTATCTTCTTTGTTTGAGCAATGCAAGGTGAGAGATTATTTGTTTCATGATCATGTATGAAAGGGGATATTTATTCTGTTATTTTTTTTTCAAATTGATTTCATGTAGTTTTATGTGCCAAAGTTTTTAACTGATCCTTTGCTTTTCACAGCCAACGTTTCTGGATATATATCTTAAGGCAATTTTAAATGCAAGGGAAAAGCCAGCAAAGGGTCTTAGTGAAGCTTTTCATCCACTTTTTAGATATATGTTACATGAAGATTTCCAAAACATTGTGCTTCCATCTGCTGTTAAAATGCTGAAACGTAACCCTGAGATTGTACTGGAATCTGTTGGGATTCTCTTGAATTCAGTCAACCTTGATTTAAGTAAGTATGCGATCGAAATTCTTTCAGTGGTATTGCCACAGGCTCGGCATGCAGATGAAGGCAGAAGGGTTGGGGCGCTGGCAATTATACGATGTTTGAGCCAAAAGTCTAGTAATCCGGATGCTTTAGAAGCAATGTTCAATGCTGCCAAATCTGTAATTGGAGGTTTGTTCTTGGTTATTTTATTATTTTCGGAGTTTTGAAAAGAATGGAATGGAAAGGAAATTAGTAATGAAGAGCAAATGGAATGAGAAAGGAAGGGAACAAAATCCTGTTTTAATGATTTTATCATTGTATCCCTATTAGTTTCTTCTTTTTCTTCTGTAGGTGTATGGGTAAGGAATGAATTTTATTAAATTTACTAAAAGTTTCTTCCCCTTTCATCGTTCCTCTCTCTCTCTCTCTCTCTCTCTCATTCAATTTATTTTAACATCCAAATAAGGGAAGCCCAGTCCTCCCTTTTAAGTGGTTCCCAATATTCTTCATTCTGGTTTTCTGCAGCCTGCAGGATGATGCATTTTCAGAGTCTTTAGTCAAGGTTGTTTTTAAAGTCTGGTTTTGGTAGTTTTAAACTCAAGGTTTCAATTTGAACAGGGTCAGAGGGAAGACTTACATTTCCTTACCAGAGAATTGGCATGATCAATGCACTGCAAGAAATGTGTAATGCTCCAGATGGGAAACATCTCAACAGCCTGTCACAAACCTTATGCAGTTTCCTTTTATCGTGTTACAAGGATGAGGGTAACATGTGAACTTGTGGTCTTATATATTTGTCTTTTTACATTATTTTATTGAACACTTTCTCCTATTTTTGTATGAGTACTCAAATCTGTTCATTTTATCCTTGTGGATTTAAATTTTTGCTTAGCTTTGTGATGGAGTATTTCAATTTTTTTTAATGTTTCTTCCATGTTTATTTATATTTCTATCTGATGTTCTAATTTCCAGGAAATGAGGAGGTGAAGCTGGCAATTTTGTCCGCTCTGGGTTTGTGGGCAGCAAGATCTGCTGATGCCATTCAATCAGATGTAGTTTTGTTTTTCTCATCTGGTCTTAAGGAGAAGGAAGCTCTAAGAAGAGGTCATCTTCGTTGTCTACGAGCCATATGCAAAAATACAGATGCTGTTTTCCGGGTTAGCTGGTTGATTAAATTTTATTTGGCTGTGGTTTGGTTCACTTGTTCTTGACCAGGCTACTTCTTTCATCTCTTTGGTGATATGTGAATTTTTTTAACTTCAGATATCATCATTACTGGAACCTCTCATCCAACTTGTCAAAACTGGTTTTACGAAAGCAGCTCAGCGTTTGGATGGTATATATGCCTTGCTATTAGTTGTGAAGATTGCAGCTGTTGACATCAAAGCAGGTATGGCTATTATTTTGACATTTTATTTATCATATAGTGTTTTTACTACTAATTTAAAATTTTGTTGTTGTTTATTTCAACGTAATGCCTCTTTCATCCCTTTTCCCGTATTTCTTTCTGTTTACTCTCAGAGGAGACTGTTGTGAAGGACAAGATCTGGTCTTTGATATCTCAAAATGAGCCTTCACTTGTACCAATATCCATGGTAGTTATTCAAGGGCTCGCTGGTTTTTAGAATATATATATATATATATATATATTTAAATAAAAACTGTTATCTATGTATTCCCTGACAAAAGATATGTATTGCACTACAGGCTTCAAAATTGTTGACTGAAGATTGCATGGCATGTGTTGATCTTCTTGAAGTGATGCTGGTGGAACATCTGCAGAGGTTATTATTCATTCACATTGCAAAATATGACTATCAATAGTTTCCTATGTTGAGAATTTGTTATGGTCTTTATTTGACACTTTTTCTGTTAAACTTTCAGGGTACTGGACTCCTTTTCACTCAGATTACTGTCACAGGTAAAAATTCAAGAAGTGCTACTTTGTTTTCTTAGGAAAGAATTTTGTTTTGTTAGTAACTAGTTATCAGTATGTTGCAGTTGATTATCTTTTTCATATGCCACCCATGTTGGGAAGTTCGAAGAATGACTTATGACGCTACAAGAAGGATAGTTCCTGCTGCTCCACAATTAACTGAATATCTTTTAGTTGAATTCACGAATTTCATGTCTGTAGTCGCAGAGAAACTTCGTATTTCAAATTCAAGGTATATCTCATTTTTTCTAGACACCACTTTCCCTTTTAATTTCTCCCCATTGAGGTTCTTGGACCTTGAGCATTCTTTTAAGTAAAAAGACACATGCACCTGCATTTGAAGGGAAGGGTCAATTTGTTCTTCTTAAGTTTCTTTAGTTTTAGGTAATGTTGATAGTTGCCCCATTCAGTTGTGTATGCATCTAACTAATAACATTATGAAATATAAATGCTTGTGGTGGTTTAAGTATATTGGTTTGTACATATAAAGTACCCACCCATATCTGCATATAGTTTCTCACATCCTCTCTGATCTGGTGGCCGGGATTTAATTTTTTGTTTATATAGTGAAACAGATAATTCATTGGACACTCAAGTTCCATTCCTTCCATCAGTTGAGGTTTCAGTAAAGGCTTTAGTTGTGATATCATCAGCAGCTCTACCTGCAGCTCCAAGGGCATCAATGCGAGTTTTATTCTGCGCACATCATCCGTACATTGTTGGAACTGCAAAGAGAGATGCAGTTTGGAGGGTAAATCTTTTTCTTCCATGCCAGCCTCATAATCTTTTACACACATATGGTAACTGCGTCCGTATAAGTTAAGTGAGGAGTTGGGTAAGCTTCCTAAGGGTCTTGCCTTTTTTTTTTTTGACGACAAGTCATGACAATTATGCTTGCTCTCCATCTTTTACAGGGGAAAGATGTCTGTTCATATAGAGTTGTGTGCCTTCATATGTGCTAATTTTAAGCTGTTGTGGCACAATCAAATCACAATAGCATTTTTATCTTATTGGATTGGTTCCTTTTATTTTCAGAGGGTGCAAAAATGTTTGCATACATGCGGTTTTGACGTCATCAGCAACATTTTGGCTGATGTGGAGAATTTTTGCAAGGTAAACCAACTAGTTCTTCTGGAGTTTTTTTGTTCATTTTCATGGATGGGTTTAATCATCTTTCGTTACGAATCATAAAATAAGATCAATTTGCTGCTTGAATACATCCTGCCTCAGCATCTGTAATTGATGGTTTGATACAATGTGAAAAAGGTACCTAGGGAAGGTGAAAATGAAGTTCAGCTTTAGTGTTTGGTGATCTACTTCTTTATATGCTTGATAAAAACACCGTACAAACTGCATTAAGCTTATATGCTTTACAAAGATATAAGCTACAGATGCATGAACTTAAACTATTTGCTAAAATATTATGTGTTTTGTTGGTACATGGTAATACCATCAGTATAGAGGCGTAGAGAGATCAGTAGACCGCTAAAGAAGTATTTTTATCTTTAAAAGGATTGATGCGAGGTTGCCAACCATTATAACAGTCTTAGGAACCGTATCTTTTTTTGTTAAATTGAAACCCATATGTTTATATCTGAACCCAAAATGTTTTTTAAATTGCAATTGTCAGTTAAGAGGAACTAGTTTGGGATTTTGACATGGTCCTGATGGAAACCAAGCCCGTAAAATTGTCTTACAGAGAGATATTTAGGTCCAGCAAGTGATCCATTACCTGCCTTCCTTTACTCCCAAAGGTCGGATTCTTCCTTTCGGACCAAGCTACTCAACCCCAATAGTCACATACTGCACCTATACAAGCTAGGAATAGGTTAGTTTAGGTTGTGTTTGCTTAAATAGGACTATCATCCCTCAATTTGGTGAAGTCTGATTTGTAGAATTTCCTGTGTTAGACTTTTCTTCAATATAGATTAGTTTTGTCTAGGTAACCGAGTAAGTTTAGATAGGTATTCTATTAATTCAAGGCATCTTGAAGTAGTGTTTTTGCATTGAATTTTGTGACTAAACCCTTAGTGGTTATCATGTGCAGACCCTACTTGGACCAATGTGGTTGTCCAGCTCTAATTCATTTGAACAGCAAGCAGCAATTTCCTCCTTATCCACTTTGATGTCCATTGCACCTGGAGAAACCTATGCGGAGTTTGAAAAGGTCATTTGCTTATGTATATCTCAGTTTTGATGGATGTTTATTTATTTAGGCCGCTGAGATCACATTAATGAATGCTTACTGGAACTCATTCTCTGTGGCAGCACTTGAAAAGTCTTCCATACCGTTATTCACATGATACACTTTCAGAAAATGATGTTCAGGTAAGTTCTTCGGGGTTTAGGATATATTAGTTTTGTAATTTGTTTAGGATCTATGGAGATTTAAATTTTCCTGATAACTGTGCTCCATTTACGTTTTGTAATTTGTTTAGGATATATTAGTTTACTAAATGTTTTCCTTTTGTTCTGTAACTTGTTTCAAAAAAATTTCCACTTATGTTGTTTCAGATTTTTCATACTCCTGAAGGCTTGCTTTCCAGTGAGCAAGGTGTCTACATTGCAGAGTCTGTTGCTGCTAAGAACATGAAACAAGCGAAGGGCCGTTTTCGGATGTATGAGGATGCCACGGTACCAATCAGTTTCTCTTTTATTCATTTTGGACCAATTGTTTTAGAAACTTATTCTTCAATTATTTTGGCTGTTGCATTTGTTTTTGTTCCCAGGACCATGGTGGTTCTAATCATTCTGCAAAAGTAGAGCCAGCCAACGGTTCTACAGGTAAAAGGGAAACTGGGAAGTCTGCAAAGAAACCTGGTGCGTTATTGTTGCATCTGTTTTTCCACTGGAAATTTATTTTTGTTTTTAACTTTATGAATTTATTAGTAGCATTACAATAATTTTGATTGGCTAGATAAAGGAAGGACTGCAAAAGAGGAGGCACGTGAGTTACAACTTAGGGAGGAGTCATCCATACGTGAGAAGGTCCAAGAAATACAGAAAAATCTATCTTCCATACTTAAAGCACTTGGGGAAATGGCCATTGCTAATCCTATTTTCGCACACAGTCAGCTTCCTTCCCTGGTATGTTCTAGGAGCCTGAACTTGTGGAATGTTTGTTATTTGTCTTTAACTAGTTGATTAAGATATATGTTCTGAATATCTTTTTGCCATTTTTGGATTGTTGTCTTTCTCCAGCTTGTTATCTCTTCCTTCCACTTTTTTTAGATGGATTTTGATTTTGCTTTTTTCAGAATATTTAAATTTACGTTTACTATCCAGAATGAAGACTTTTTACCGTATTTTTTCTTCCTATCAGGTTTCTTTGACGATGTTTGCTGTTAAATGTTCCCAAAGTAATTAGATGTGCATCACTATAAAACTTCTTTTTCCGTGACACATTCAAAAGCAAGTTTGCTTTGAGTGTTGTTACTTGTATTGCATATAATTTCTGCATGTGATAAAGAAGGGGATAAATTTTCTACCAAAATGAAAGTATTTTTCGTTATAGTCAGTCTTAGGGGGAAGTACTTCAGTTACCATATTTCATAGTATAGAATTGGGCTTGCTGATTTGCTGCCATCTCTGTGGTATATGATCTCCGGCTCTTCCTTGATGTTGACCGAACAAAAGAATTTAATAATGTTATTTTTGATGATTGACTTTCTGCTTTGCTGCTATTAATTCACTGCCTCTATCCCTTTATTTCATTGGCTTTTTGTTACGAACTTTGTTCAGACCAAATTTTCTTATAATGTGTAAGATCTGATGTAATGGCTTAATTGTTAACCTTTCATCTAATATCAGGTTAACTATGTTGATCCATTGCTAAGGTCACCAATAGTCAGTGATGTGGCATTTGAAACTGTGGTGAAACTTGCTAGATGCACTGCTCCACCTCTCTGCAATTGGGCCCTTGACATTGCTACAGCTTTGCGCTTAGTTGTGACTGAAGAAGTTCGTCTTGTGGGTGATATGATTCCATCAGTTGGTGAAGCGGAAGCCAATGAAAAACCGTATTTGAGTCTATTTGAGCGAATAATTAATGGCCTTTCTGTATCTTGTAAATCCGGACCGCTTCCTGTAGATTCTTTTACCTTCGTCTTCCCTGTAAGTTCACCTGCTTTCCTGTATTACGGATTCAGCTGAATGGTGCTTCTCTTAGACTGATCTTTTCTTTTATATGGTTATGTTATCAGATAATGGAGCGAATTCTGTTATGCTCTAAGAAGACAGGACTTCACGATGCTGTGCTTCGGATTCTTTATTTGCACATGGACCCCCTATTACCCCTTCCGAGGCTTCGAATGATTTCAGTTACTGGATTTTCCTTGGGCACAAATTCACATGAATTTTCCACTAATTTTAATTTATTGTTATTTGTTGCCTTTCATTTATTTACTTTGGCTTTTCTCAGGTTCTTTATCATGTTCTTGGTGTTGTTCCTGCTTATCAAGCGTCTGTTGGACCTGCGTTGAATGAGTTGTGTTTGGGTCTGCGACCAGATGAAGTGGCGCCAGTATGCTATTTCTATTTCTAGTTCAATTGTTTCATTGATGTGCTTTCATAGTACTCATCCTTCATGAATATGTCTTTCTTCAGGCTCTATATGGGGTTTATGCGAAAGATGTTCATGTTAGAATGGCCTGCCTAAGTGCTGTCAAATGTATTCCTGCTGTTGCCAGTCGTTCTCTTCCTCAGAACGTTGAGGTCGCTACAAGCATTTGGGTTGCTTTACATGACCCTGAAAAGGTTTGGTGCACCAATTATTTTTGTAGAGTGTATCCATCTTTGACCGATGGATAAGGTCCCATCTGATGGCTGAAGTTTTGCGTGCAAATGCGTGGCTAAATGATATAGCCTTGGAATGGGACCTTAATTTTGACCTTTGAAATGCCTTTGTTGCGTGAATTTTGGAGATTTAGCTGTAGTTTAGTTTACAGTTGCAAAATTTTCTCCATCCTCCTTGGCCTCATTTTTCTTATATAGATAGCTCATTTACTTTGTTTTCTTTGTGCTTTTGCTTCAGTCAGTTGCAGAAGCCGCAGAGGATTTATGGGATCGCTATGGGTATGACTTTGGGACTGACTATTCAGGCCTTTCCAAAGCACTTTCCCATATCAATTATAATGTCCGTTTTGCTGCTGCGGAGGCATTAGCTGCTGCTTTGGATGAATGTCCAGATACTATACAGGTTTGTCTGATTTTGATCCGTCAACTTACATTGACTTGCAGTTTCGTTATACCCATCTCAAAAGCGTATTGTTATTATTATTCAGGAATCTCTTTCTACTTTATTTTCTCTGTATATCCGTGATGCTGGTTTGACTGAGGACAATGTTGATGCTGGTTGGCTGGGCCGACAAGGTGTAGCGTTGGCATTACATTCTTCTGCTGATGTACTCAGAACGAAAGACCTTCCTGTTGTTATGACATTTCTGATTTCAAGAGCACTGGTAAAGTTTACATCGTTGTTCTTTCCAAAGCATGAGCTATGCATTAAATTGGAAAGAGATATTCTTTTCTTCAGTTTCATCCTTGTCAGAAAAGGAGTAGTAGTTGATTTTAACCACTTTGTGAATGCTGCTCAATATGCAGGCCGATCCTAATGCTGATGTTAGGGGAAGAATGATTACTGCTGGTATTATGATTATTGATAAGCATGGCAGGGATAACGTTTCCTTGCTATTTCCCATCTTTGAGAACTACTTAAACAAAAAGGTTATCCTCCTTTTCTAAATAGAGATGGTGTTGGCAGAACTTTTGGAGCTTTGATTTCGTTTCGTGTCTGTTTTGGTGATAAGTGCTGGAACTGTTGTTTCCATGCCAAGCTATTGTAGGAACTTCATAATTTATCTAACATAACTTGTGAATTTTCGTAGGCATCGGATGAAGAGAAATATGATTTGGTTCGTGAGGGAGTTGTGATTTTCACCGGAGCATTGGCAAAACACTTGGCAAAGGTGCTGTATTTACTGTTTCTTTCTTTCTTTCTTTTCCCCTCTGGAATTTAGTTTAGCTTATATCTGTACTCTGGAACAGGATGATCCAAAAGTTCATACTGTTGTAGAGAAGTTGTTGGATGTGTTAAACACTCCATCAGAAGCTGTTCAACGGGCGGTTTCAGCATGCCTATCTCCATTAATGCAATCAAAGCAAGTATGAATTAAAGTCTTAACACTTTCCCTTGTTTGCTTTTACTTCAGTAATTGTTTATGCAAGCCTTGGACACATTTGAATACAGAGACAATTATATAGATAAGTATATTGTTATTAGACTAAATGCCCATGGAACTGCATTTCTTGCCCATGCTTTTTTGTGTTGTCAAGCAGTCCATGAAAATACTATTAAAAAAAGGGACCCTGTTAAGTAAAACCGGATTTACCTTTAAGGGAGAGTAGTTATCCTGTTAAATCAAGTTTGTTTTCCCATCCAGAAATTGATTTATGACATTGTTTATGTTGATAGATACTGTATTGACGTTAAGATGAAAGCTAATTTTATTCTTTTTCCTGTACAAGGATGATGGACCAGCTCTTGTCTCAAGGCTTTTGGATAAACTGATGATGAGTGACAAATATGGGGAACGTCGAGGAGCTGCGTTTGGGCTTGCTGGGGTGGTCAAGGGATTCGGTATTTCTTGCTTGAAGAAGTATGGGATTGTAACTCTACTACAAGAAGGTCTTGTAGATAGGTTGGTTTCTAACCCGGGTTTAAGAAGTTGACTGTTATTTATGTATATGTCGTAGAAACTTATGTTTTGTGATATTTAGATAGTGTTATTGCTAAACATAGTATTCCAAGAAATACAAGCGAATTTAATATCTTTATATAAAAAAAGAAGAAATATTGGTCAGGTACACTAATTAGTCATTGAATGAATGATACATATTCTGTGTTGGTGGTTTGGTCTGAATGGAATAACTTCAAATTTCAAGAGTAAAGATCGCGAGGTAGTAGACTGCAAGTGATAAGGCTCAATCCCTCTACACTTCTGTTTCTTCTTCATTTTATTGTTGTTTTCTTTATAAAAAATTATACATTTCCTTTGTGTAAATACTAGTCAAGCCTTTCATCTTTGTATATCGTTTGAATCACAGGAGTTCTGCAAAATGTCGTGAAGGAGCTTTACTTGGATTTGAGTGTCTCTGTGAATCACTTGGACGACTATTTGAACCGTAAGTGAACAGTTATGTACAAAGAAGTGATTGTCCATATGGGCTTTATTATTCTTCTGATCTCTCTCTATCTCTCTCTCTCTCTCTCTCTCTCTCTCTCCCCAATCATCTTTTTGATGCAGGTATGTAATTCAAATGTTGCCACTACTGTTGGTTTCGTTCTCTGATCAAGTTGTTGCAGTTCGTGAAGGTGCTGAGTGTGCAGCTCGTGCAATGATGTCTCAACTTAGTGCTCAAGGAGTTAAACTGGTCCTCCCATCTCTTTTAAAGGTATTTTATATCAGTCCCCCTCACCTGAGGGACAAAAATTAAGGGACTGTGAGCGCCACTTTCATGACATCCATTGGATTGTGCTGCTGTTACCTAGAGTGGCTGTGTAATGATGTTTACTGCTGTATTTTGCTGCTGATCTTGTTATTAGATGATGTCAGTAGGATGTGAAGTCATTGAACACCTTGTCCTCTGTTTTGTTGTACAATTTAATTTCTCTCAATATAATTTAATTTCTATATAATGTCCTCTGCTGCGTTTCTTTAATCATGGCCAGTTATTAAGTGTTGAATTACATTATTTTGATAGGGTCTTGAAGATAAAGCTTGGCGAACAAAGCAAAGTAGTGTCCAACTGCTTGGGGCTATGGCCTATTGTGCTCCTCAACAGCTGTCTCAGTGTCTCCCTAAGATTGTACCAAAACTGACCGAGGTTTGTCTTTATATGGACATGAGTATCTCTGGCACTTATAGAATATGCATAGTTTTGTGCTTTATTCTTTACCTTTTCTTGTTCTTGCAGGTTTTAACAGATACACATCCTAAAGTCCAGTCAGCTGGACAAACAGCACTTCAACAGGTTTTTAGATTGTGCAATGAAGTTACCTATGTTTCTCTTATAGTCATTGTTAATATTTTTTTTCTTTTTTGGTGGTACTCACTCTTAGGTTGGGAGTGTAATAAAGAATCCTGAAATAGCTTCCTTGGTCCCAACTCTTCTACTGGGTCTGACGGATCCAAATGACTATACAAAGTACTCTCTTGATATTCTCTTACAAGTAAGGATTTGCAAACTGAACTCTACTACTTTCTAATAAGTTTGTTTCCCTCTTTTATTGATTTGAATGCTCATGAATTCTTTGCAGACAACTTTTATTAATACAATTGATGCTCCTTCACTGGCACTGTTGGTGCCGATAGTTCATAGAGGGCTGCGGGAAAGGAGTGCAGAGACTAAAAAGAAAGCAGCCCAAATAGTTGGCAATATGTGTTCGTTAGTTACGGAACCTAAGGATATGATTCCGTATATTGGGTTGCTTCTCCCTGAAGTGAAAAAGGTACCCTTTTGTAAGAGTGGTAATTTGACTATTTTATTTAACTATTTTCTAATTATTTGTGCCCCCAAAACTAGGTTCTTGTGGATCCAATTCCAGAAGTTCGGTCAGTTGCAGCAAGGGCCCTTGGATCCCTTATACGGGGAATGGGCGAAGATCATTTCCCAGATCTTGTGCCATGGCTGTTTGATACACTTAAATCTGATAATAGTAATGTTGAGCGCTCTGGAGCTGCTCAAGGGTTGAGTGAGGTCAGTATTACTGTATAAAATAAAACATTATGGATCTATTCTATCTTAGTATGGTTAAACTTCTATTGTAGATTAAATTTATTTGTTAATTTCGAAAGAAAATGTAATTGCATGCACGAAAAGAAGGGGACAATGTCGACTGAAAATATGTAGATCAGAAATGTGCTTCCATTTGATTGTACCTTTTTGTACTTGGAAAATAAGTTGGCTCTTTTCCATTGCTTAATTCACAGTAAGTATTTTTTATCGCGCTTTCATTGATAATAGTAATGATAATATTTCAATAAATTATGCTGTGATAGTTGATGTGTAGAATTATTTGTCTTTTTTAAAGGTGATTGAATTGATATGTGATGAATTATAATGTGATAACCTTCTTCGATCAAATATTTTATCCACAGGATGCTTTTCTGATGGCATGATGTAATTATTTTCTACCCCTTTTACTTTATAAGTATTTAGCGGAAATATCCTTATTGAAATTATAATGTGATAACTTTTCTGATGGCATGATTTAAGTATTTAGCAGAAATATCCTTATTGAAATTGATATCAAAGAAATAGGTCAAGGAAAGAGTATTCTTGTACTTTATAGGATGGAAAACATGTTATCCACAATGCCAATGTGATAGGCATTTGACAGTGATGCTTCTTTATGCAGACATGTATTTAGTTTAACCTTGTACCTGTTATACTTATTCCTTTAGTATTTCAGGATAAGTGTTTCCTTTCTGCACGGACTACTGCTGTTATGGAATCTGTGGATGTCTTTATTTTTCTTAATATTGCCTTGGTTTGCTAAGAGACAATTGTTGCCAATCCAGGTGTTAGCTGCACTCGGGACTCAGTACTTTGAGCATGTACTTCCTGATGTTATCCGGAACTGTTCTCACCAAAAAGCGTCTGTCCGTGACGGATATTTGACATTATTTAAGGTGAGGACAGTGTTAAAATCAAGTTAACCACCACTGCAAGTATTTTATCTCCGGCTCTGTTAATGGTTGCCTTTGTTTGGGAATTGATTTGTAGTATCTACCGAGGTCATTGGGAGTCCAATTCCAGAATTATCTACAGCAGGTGCTGCCTTCTATTTTAGATGGTAAGTAAAGATCCTTCTCTGGAGTTTGGTTGGCTGTAAAATTATATGGTATCATGTTACTACAGTACTTTGGTGCTCCATTTAAACTTAATGCGCGCTTTTATTCTTACAGGTCTTGCTGATGAAAATGAGTCTGTACGTGAGGCAGCACTAGGTGCAGGGCATGTCCTGGTTGAGCATTATGCGACAACGTAAGCACTTTTCAATCAGTGTGATAACTCTCTAGTTGAATTTGTTGTGTCGTGGATTTTGGTTCTAGTCTAGAGAATTTATTGCATAACAATTTTATTTTGGTCCGTTGGAGGCCCATTGGACCTATGTGCTATAAGACTTGGATGGTAGCCCTCGATCATGCCATAAACCCCTAATCCTGGTGAAGGTGGGATTCAATCTGTGGTCCTTGGACAATCAATTAAAGCTACTCCGCATCTTAATAACCTCAAGACAACCAAAAATCGACTTTTGTTAGGAAATACCAATTTGTTCTCATTAATTCTCTGAAATGTTTTGCAACTTGGAATATCTTGGCGTTTTGGGAATTATTGGATTATGAGTGATCATTCATATTGTTCATTCTGGGGCTGCCCTACTCATATATGAGTGGGAAGCCTTTCATAAGTTGCGATGTTTGCCAAGCATCTATAATGTTGCCCTAATGGTTTTCATCTGATGGGTTCCATTTTATTTTTGCTGTTTTTATTTTATTTTCAGGTCTTTACCTTTGCTCCTTCCTGCTGTTGAGGATGGTATCTTTAACGATAGTTGGCGGATTCGACAAAGCTCTGTGGAGTTATTGGGTGATCTCTTATTTAAGGTATTTCATCTCAACCTCTTCCTGTTTCCTTCTCTTGGAGTTTCTAAGTCTTGGTTTCTGAGATAATCTGTATTAATCCAGGTTGCTGGGACTTCTGGAAAAGCTTTACTTGAGGGTGGCAGTGATGATGAAGGTGCTAGTACTGAGGCACACGGGCGGGCTATCATTGAGGTTCTGGGAAGGGAAAAGCGTGATGAAGTTCTTGCTGCGTTATATATGGTTCGAACTGATGTCAGCTTATCTGTTCGTCAGGTAGTGAAGTACTTTGTTTGGCACAAATTCAATCTTTTGTTTTATTTGAGGGACATATCTAACTTGTAATCAAAATTCACCGTCCTTTTTTCAGGCTGCGTTGCATGTATGGAAAACTATTGTGGCAAATACTCCAAAGACTCTAAAGGAAATAATGCCAGTTTTAATGAATACTCTGATTGCCTCTCTTGCATCATCGTCCTCTGAAAGGCGGCAGGTTGCTGGACGATCACTGGGTGAGCTTGTTAGGAAACTTGGTGAAAGAGTGCTTCCTTTGATCATCCCAATTTTATCCCAAGGGCTGAAGGACTCTGACACCAGCAGAAGACAAGTGAGCACTCTGTTTATCTTTTGCTTGTTATAATGTTGCAACTGTAATGTGTCAGGTTAAGGCTCCACCTCATCTTCACTGAGTATTCTCTTACTATCATTTAGTCTTGTAGCTAAAAAGGGGTTTGTTTTGGAATGGTGCCTTTTTGTGGTGTTGTCTAAACACTTAAACTAGTGTATCATTTGGGTTGTTGCTCAACCAGTGCACTTGTTGTTGCAGTTTGAATACATTAGTTGAGTGCCTTATTATGACCTTGTTAAAAAGATTACCTGTTTGATAACTATGCTAGCTAACACATTTCTATGTTCTTACGATTCACAGGGTGTATGCATAGGTTTGAGTGAAGTAATGGCAAGTGCTGGTAAAAATCAGTTGTTGAGTTTCATGGATGAGCTCATCCCTACAATTCGAACTGCTCTTTCTGATAGGTTTTTGTCCTCTTTTATGATGTTTCTGATTTTACAAGTTTTTGTCTTGAGTTTTTTTTTCCTTTTTGCAAAATGTTACCATACTGTTTATGTGTCAACAACAGCATGCCCGAGGTTCGTGAGTCTGCTGGCTTAGCATTCAGCACTCTCTACAAGGTTCTGTTTCTAGGTTTTTTTAAATTTGAATATTCGTTTCTAAGATGGTCATATATGTTTTAATTATGAAGTCACAATGCAGAGTGCTGGACTGCAAGCAATCGATGAAATTGTTCCCACTCTTTTGCGTGCATTGGAGGATGATCAAACTTCTGATACTGCTCTTGATGGCCTCAAACAAATCTTAAGGTGAAATATCCACTTCAATTTAATGTCTCTCACTCCCTCTCTCTTACACCTTGTTTTGTGTATGCTTTTCTTTTTTTTGTTGAGCTAAGTTGCGGCATGTTCTATTTCAGTGTGAGGATTACTGCTGTTTTGCCCCACATCTTACCCAAGCTGGTCCACCTTCCACTTACGTATGTATTTCATTCTCAAAATTACTGTGTATTAAATGTCTTATAACAAAGTTCCTCTTGGGTGCTGCTTGTTTACTGAAATCGTTTATATATCCAGTGCGTTTAATGCACATGCTCTTGGAGCTGTAGCTGAGGTTGCTGGACCTGGCCTTAACTCTCATCTTGGTACCGTTATTCCTGCTCTACTTTCTGCAATGGGTGCTGATGAAAAGGTATGCTGTTGCAATTTGCAATCTTCTGGCGTATGTAAGAACATAACTTTTTCTGATTTTTGCCCCTACGGTTTCGGTTAGTAGGTTGTTGAACACGTCTTACTGGTTGTACACTATTATTTAATATGTGACACTGTCTGGCTGGATGTTGTTGAAATCTAATCAGGCTGAATTTGAAATATTGTTGCTTTGGAAATTTTAGGAAGTTCAAACTTTGGCCAGGGAGGCAGCTGAAACTGTGGTCTTAGTCATAGATGAGGAAGGTGTTGAATCTCTTATATCTGAACTTGTTAGAGCTGTCAGTGATAGTCAGGTATTAATCACTAACAAGGTATCATCCTGTTTATCTCCCTCCCTCGCTCTCTCACTCGATATTTTACTCATGGTTTCAGGCCTCAATTAGAAGAAGTTCTTCATATCTTATAGGCTATTTCTTCAAAAACAGTAAATTATATTTGGTTGATGAAGCTCCAAACATGATATCTACCTTGATTGTCTTGCTCAGTGACTCAGATTCAGCTACTGTGGCGGTATGTGCTACGAGTATTTCATGTTCTGTTATTGACTCCAAGTATGTAACATTGTCTGTTATCTTCTAATCAACAGATTTCTTGGGAAGCTTTGTCAAGGGTTGTAAGTTCTGTTCCCAAGGAGGTACTTCCTTCATATATTAAATTAGTACGAGATGCTGTCTCTACTTCCAGGGATAAGGAGCGCAGGAAGAAGAAGGTGGGCAAATAGTTTAGATTGTGAATCATAGCAGATTCTTTAGTTCAAAATAAGTTCCATATGTTGTCTATTCTAAATGTTTTCCAGTGAATGGTCAATTAAATCCTAATAGTTATGTTTGTGACCTTTCAGGGAGGACCAATTCTCATACCTGGATTTTGTTTACCAAAAGCACTTCAACCATTGCTTCCAATATTTCTACAGGTATAGTAGCTCTTCTTTGCCTTGATCTTAAATGGAAATCAATAAGTCTTGTTGTATGTTCAATTTTTTTAGTTAACATGCAATATTACATGATTATAGCTAGCTAGTTGTGGTTTTAAAATGCACCCATTCCTTAACCTTATGATTCAATTGTAGAAAAAAAAATTCTTGGTACCGACTCATTCATGGGCCTTGGTCCTTTGTTGTTTCAGTAGTTGACGTACTTCTCGTCCATTGTGCTTTTAGTGTGCTCTATTATTCTAATAAAGTGGTGTTTCTTATCTATCCCAGACAAAAGTTTTACTACTCGAACTTGTAGAAGAAAATAATGGTTGAATATGATGTTCTCTTTATTTATTTTTATCCTTGTCATCCGGGGAAGATTTGTTTACTTGGATGACTTTTTGGATTGCTGGAAGTGCTTCCTTGTGGATTTCTATGGAATTTTGGGTTGACCCAGATACTTGGTTATGTGAAGTTTTAGTTGCATGTGATTTCTTTACATGCTTGCCTGTAGGGTAAGAATATTATTTTGTTACTTTTATGATAGGATAGATTTCTAGATGTTGATATGGTTCATTACTTTGTCCTCATTGCTCTTTGGGCATTAGATTTTAAACTGTACCTGTACTGCACCTTTAGGGCTTAATAAGTGGATCTGCTGAACTAAGAGAGCAAGCGGCACTGGGTCTTGGTGAACTGATTGAGGTGACTAGTGAACAGGCACTGAAAGAATTTGTCATCCCAATAACAGGGTACGTATGATTAAAGTATGGTAGAGGAATGTTCGCTAAATTTGAGATATCTAATTTTGACCTCATCAATGTCATTGTATAAAGTACTGCCCTTAGTTTTTTACTTGACACTTGGAATTGGATTGATGTCTTCATTAATGGAATGGTTTTGTTGCTTATGACTGAAAGTCACGTAGAGGCTTTAATAATACCTGCTTTTCTTTACAATACTTTTTTTTTGGGTCTAATCATTGTGCTCCTCAGTGATGAAACGCATTGTATTTTTGCTCTGTACGAAAAAGTTGAGTCATACCAGATGAAATGGTCTGTGGGAGGCAAACTCTTGAAAATACTCATGTTCTTTATTGTATTACAAAATTCACAGTTTGCAGATTCAATTTCTGTCCAAAATAAAATGACTGTTAAGTTTTTGTTTGTTATCATATGTTTTATCTATTTTTTCAGTACTTATATCATTGTTTGACTTTCATGACTCTAGGCCACTTTTGCACTGTAACTGAACTTTGTATATCCAACTTTTCCATAAGACCCCAGTTTCTCATGCTTGTGCGTTTTTTTTCAAAATCTGACTGGCTATTATTGGATTGCAACTGCAGGCCTCTTATCCGGATAATAGGTGATCGGTTCCCTTGGCAGGTGAAGAGTGCTATTTTATCTACTTTGGCAATCATGATAAGAAAGGGTGGGATGGCGTTGAAACCTTTTCTTCCTCAGCTTCAAACAACATTTGTAAAGTGTCTACAGGATAACACAAGGTTGGCTTAAAATACAATCATCTAGTAATGTTTTCCCCATGTAAGCTTTTTGGCTCACTGGTCCTCACATTTGGAATTATTATGTCCTTTAAAATGGTGCTATAATCATAACTATCCTCTTGGCACCTTTTTTACTGCCACATAAACATTATTCACCCTGTATATATATCTATAAACATAAATAAGAAAAACAAATGAAGGGTAAAAAATGAAAGGAAAGTAATTTGGGGGAAGAGGTAACTGACGTGGGGTTTAAGAAAAAACAGTTTCCTATTTTCAAGGAAATGTGGGTGTTTTAGTTTTCTATTTTTTAAACGTATCCAATTTAAAAGATTATATTAATTTACTATATTATCCTCATATAATAATTTTTTTTTACAATTTCATTAACTAAGGGCATTTTTGGTATTTTGAATGTTTCACCTTTAAGATCTTTACATATATAGATTTAAAATATGATTGGGTATGGTGCGTGCTGCAAATATGGTCCACATAGGTATCTCTTCTTATACGAATTAGTGCTTTCAGGTTGGGAGAAAGAATCAGATTTACATTTAATTGCTTCTTGTGTATTTTCTTATATTAGCATTAGTGGCGCACAAGTAGTCCAGCTTGTTTCCTCTATATATCCTGCTTATTAGATGCTTTTCAAACGCAGAATTGTTCGTTCAAGTGCTGCCCTTGCACTTGGGAAGCTTAGTGCTCTCAGTACCCGGGTTGACCCTTTAGTTGGAGACCTCCTATCCAGTTTGCAGGTGATTGTTAGTTAGGATCTTTGATGCACTTAAATTTCAAATTTTGATTTTACAATTGTTCTTGATTTCACTGTTCAGGCTTCGGATAGTGGGGTTCGGGAGGCAAGTTTGTCTGCTTTAGAAGGTGTCCTGAAGCATGCTGGGAAGAGCTTGAGCAGTGCTGTTAGAACTCGTGTCTACTTGCACCTTAAGGATTTGATTTGTAATGATGATGACCAGGTTCGGATATCTGCTGCAAGCATTTTGGGTATCACATCCCAGGTATGTCATGGGTAATATAGGAACTTCTCCAATATCTATATCTTGCCATCTGTTGTTAATTTTGTGAATGAGCAATTAAGGTTTCTAGATGTATTTAGCTGTCGCTTAATCATGATGTTCAAGATTCTGTATTTTTGATATATGGTTGTAGACAATGTTCGTACTGTTGATATTGACTGGGCAACTAAAGTATGTATGCAGAGCACATATGAAGATTGGAGAAGATATCTGTAAAATTGGACGTAACAAAAAAAGAAATTTGGAGATTTCGTTTGGAAGTTTGATATTTGTTGGTTGATGCAATAATATATCTGTCGGGATACTAGAGTAATTAGTTGAGAGGAGTGGGATGCATGATTTTGTTGAATAAAAATAATGGACGAATGTGGCAAGTAAGAAACAGCTTAAATAATGATCAATATCAAAGGGATATAATTCGAGAAGGTTTTATGTAAGTGTCGAATTTGTCCGTTGCCAATCTTTTTATGATCTTTCATCGGCCATTGTGTTCTGCGAAAAAGATATGAAAGTAATAGAATACGGACGAGATGCACTAGAATTCTTTCATATCAGATATATGGAAACCAATTTCTATTTGCTTACATGCAAACTGCAATCAACAGCACCATCAAAATCATCATGAGATCCGTCACATTCATTTAAATTGATTCTATGAAACTCTTATTGTTCTCTGGCTTTCCAATATATTATTGGCTCCTTAGTGGTTTTCTTTTATTATTGACCAGACTTTTCTCTGATTATTTGCAGTACGTAGAAGATGATCAACTGTCTGAGCTGCTTCAGGAACTCTCAAATTTGCCGTTGTCTCTTAGCTGGTCTGCTAGGCATGGCTCCATACTCACAATTTCATCTATGCTCAGGCACAACCCATCCGTTATTTGTACGTCTCCAGAGTTTCCGTCTATTCTGGACCAGCTTAAAAGTGCCTTGACTGATGAGAAGGTATTTAGTCCTGATAGTAAGCATTCTTATATATATATTTTTTATTATGCTTTGCAAACTAGTGACACTCTTCCTTCAAACAGTTCCCTCTTCGTGAAACTTCAACCAAGGCATTTGGGAGACTTCTGATTCATAAGTTCCGAAGTGATCCATCTAATAGCTCAGTTCATTCTGATATTATATCGTCCTTAGTGTCAGCTTTGCACGATGATTCTAGTGAAGTTAGAAGAAAGGCATTATCTGCTATAAAAGCAGGTTCTAAGGTTTGTGCTTGGGGTTTTTGGAATTGCATGCCGAAAATATGGACTTCAACTGTGCAAATCATTAAGGATTTTATGCTTGGTGTTTGCATTACAGGAAAATTCCTCGGCTATTTTGGCTCATATGAATATTATTGGACCCGCACTTGCTGAATGCTTGAAAGATGGAAGCACTCCTGTGAGACTTGCAGCGGAAAGATGTGCTCTGCATGCTTTCCAATTGACAAAGGGTATTTTTTTCAAGCTCTCTTACAGTTTTACTGCAATAGTTCAAATGAAAATTTTCCAATGATTCAGTTGTCGAAGCGAAAAATGCAGCTGTTAACAGTTTTTCTGTTACATATTTTCCAGGTCCTGAAAATGTCCAAGCTGCACAAAAATTCATCACAGGCTTGGATGCTAGACGAATATCAAAGATCCCTGAAAACAGGTATATACGGTACATGGATATATAATAGTACATACACTGGTTTTCCAAAATGTGCATTGTGGTTTTGATAATTTGTTTTTCTTTTTAAATATTTTGTAATTGCTGGTATTTTCAACTGCCTGTTGCTTCTGGGAATATGCAGTGATGATAGCGACAGTGAGGACTTGGCAAGTGGCTGAAAATGTATGTTGTTTGACGAGCCACGAATATCTTGTTTATCAAAAGTGGAGGTATAGAAAATCCATATGTTTGGGATGCCAGCATAAGGTTTTATGGCACATTTTTATCAAAGAATTGCGGATATACAAATCATAGAGGCCTCCATACCCAATTTTTCTCACCTGGGTATTATAAGTTGAATGTAATTGTTGATTGGATATCATATATATAATCAAAGGATCATGTATAGAACGAGAGCGCATGTTGGCTTTTCCCATTTTTGTAAGCTACATCAAATATTTCATATAATGTTTCATCTTATCACATGTTTTAGAGAGCTATTCCAAGTATAATATGCCATTAGCGTAGCTTTGGAATCCCACTTGTTTGATTATCCGAGTAAAAAAAGAAAATGATTTACTAATGTTTAAGGTTGAAATATCATGTCATTTCCTGGCCGCAAACTCAACCCCATACCAACTTCCGTGGCTCCACCTTCCCAAAACCCCACATACATTGGAATTTGAACATGTATGTATGTATATTTGTATGTATGTTTAATAATGACAGTTTTGAGGCCCCCGCTTTCGTTTATCTTCTCCAATCAACTTTGCACCTTGTTTGTTTGTTCGACACCAAGACGTATTTGGGTGACAAACCAAAGCCTCCTTTCGCTGTTCCACTTTATGGCTTTGCCTGTTGGGTATGGGTGGGTTGGTAGCTGAAGCCAAAAAGAAAAACAAAGCAAGTGCTTCGACAAAAAATAATAATAATAATAATAAAAAGTCTATTGCTTAGCCAAAGGGTTTTGCCAAGTTCAGGTTATATCTTTCCTTAGCCGTCAAAGTTCATGAGTAGGTGCAAAGTTCAAATGGTTCAAATCAGAGAGAGAGAGAGAGAGAGAGAGAGAGAGGTTAGATTGGTAAATCACCAGAGACTTGGGTGCAGGACATTATAATAAAACGGTCATGTCATGGCCTCTCCATTCAAAGCCTTCTTGCCTTAGAAGCGAGCGTAATGTGCAAAGACTAGAATGAACCTCAATGAGCCAGCTGCATTAATTGTTCTTATATATCGTGGGATGGATGAGATCTCGAGCCTCTACATTTACATGTGGCACCGTACGGACTCACTGTAGTTATGCACACATTATTTAGTGACATATCATCATGCATTAAGGGCAAAGGGGCCCTCCAATCGCTGTGTGGTCATTCTCCAATTTAAATCACCTCTTGTTTAAATTGATGATATTTTGATGGACTATGATTTGACAATTTTGACTTGGCTTGGAGAATAACTGGTCAAGCATTCAAATTCAATAAAGCCCTTATAATTGATTATTAGATTTCTATTTATTGATTTTAGTTGAATGTACATGTAACATGTTTATGTTTGATGAGGAGACTAACTTCAAGTCTTTTATGTTTTTATTATTATTCAAGTATATTTATGGAAACGGGTTATTTGTAGCAATGGTCCCTCAATTATACTCGGAGTTACATTTTGGTCATTCAACTCAAATATTAGTTGCAAAGGTCACTCAATTGGGTGTTGTGTTGCACCGTTAGTCCCTACCGTCAAGTCTCTCTAATGGTATGGACTAATGGTGCAACACAACACCTAATTGAGTGACCTCTGTAACTATTTTTGGAGTTGAGTGACCAAAATGTAACTCCGAGTATAGTTGAGGGATCATTGCTACAGATAATCCTAACTGAAAAGTCACATTTGCCCATCAATAATCTAAGAGATGCTTGTCATGTCATCATTTTAAACAGAAAAAGTCACAGACTTGACGGTAGGAACTAATGGTGCAACACAACACCCAATTGAGTGACCTCTGCAACTAATATTTGAGTTGAGTGACCAAAATGTAACTTCGAGTATAGTTGAGGGACCATTGCTACGAATAACCCTTATAAAAACTATCTAAATAATCATGGAACACTGCATTCCCTATGGGGTTTGAGTTTGGTAGTAAATACTCTTTATGGCCTTTGAGTTTGGTAGTAAAATAAATGGAAGTAGAATACTCGCAAGTAAATTATTCCAAAAATCAATATTATTACAACAATGATTTTTTTTTTCTTTCCCTCTGGTCTGGAATTGGATATATATATATATATGTTTATTTTCTCCTGTATTTCAACTATCAAACTCCAAAAACGAGATATTACAGTAAAATATCACGAGATGTTGTGGAGGGTATTTAGGTAATTTGAAGTTCAAAATTCGAGTCAAATCCAGGCTTGTGGAGTTGAGGAGGAGACTGACAACCAAATTTCTCTCTATTAATGAACAGAGAGCATTCGAGATTCGAGAATAGAAGCTTGCCCATTTATTATATACTAAACACATTTATTATTTTCATATAAGATAATAATTTATTCATTATTTTATTATACCCACTACATTTGCTAAAATTTGTCATTTTTCTGAAATGTATACCACATGGAGAAGGGTGCGTTTGTAGCACAGATCAAGGGACTGTTTGCTTCCATCCATTTGAAAAAGAAAAAAAAAAAAGCAACACTCATACGTTGAAATTTGAACAACAGCTATTTCCTTCGTTGGGTTCCATTCCATCACCTCAAAGTCCAAACCCTAAGCACTCATTAATTATCCTAACAACGAAAGGGAGTAATATATAGATGATTTGGATTGTTGAAATAAAATTTATAGTGGACTTTAAAACGA